TTCCCTACTCTTATAGCTGTCCAGTGGGGCTGTACTGATTTCCATTCTGAAAATCCTTCACAAGTGTCTCCCTCTAGCTCACTAGCCAGCAAAGGATGTTCCACTGTCCTGCAGCTTTGACTGCAGGGCCCCCTTCAGAGACTCTGACAGCCCCTGACTGTGAGACACTTGAAGGGTTAGAGATGAGGAAAAATAGCTTGTAGAAAGAGAGACAGGTCCTGAAACTTGAGGAGCAGTGTCCCCAACTTCTATAGATCCTCTTTGTCTCACCAGATGAAGTGATCTCGTCTGCTCTGGATACCTGCAGTGTTTTTCAGGAACAGACTATGATGCCCTAGAAGCTCAAACCTCAGTGATCTAAGACCCCTGAGCCCACAGATTTTGCCATCCTCTGCTCTGGGTGGGATGGTGATACTAGTTGGGGAGGGAGCAGTGGAGCCAGCCACAGATCTGTGGAAGAAGCATCTTAGTACCTTTACCCCAACTTAAAAGCAAGTGGAGAAAAGAGGGATCAAGTTCTGCAGAAGAGAGCTCAGAAGTTCTACTTCCACCTGATCTCTGGTGATCTCGGGAGGAGACAGACAAATAGATTGTTCTGAAAGACAAAATCCCTACTAGAAAGCTCACCTTTTTGGAGAGAGAGAAGATTATTCCTTTGCCTTGCCCCAGATACAGAGCAAACTACCGAGTACTATTCTGAGTCATAACCTAACCTGGGAAAAAGTAGCTCCTTTTATTGGTAGAATACACTTTGATACTGTTTAGCCTTTAAAGGCAATAACGTCTATCACTGGTTCAAGCATCTCTCCAAGCAGCTATGCTTGTTTTGGATATATAGATAGATGCATTGATTCTAACCCTGTACGGATGATGCTCTACATTCCCTGAAGCATTCCAGAGACATGCTGGGATCACTGGGCATTCATACCCTGGCCTCCATAGGGAAACCAGACCAGGCAACAAATAGCTATCAGCTTGCAGCAGCAGCCTACGTTTTCTTATCCATCACTACCATCCTAACTTTGTTGTCCAGAGTTGCTTAGTCTTACCTTTGGATGCCTCCTTGGTTCACTCTGACATGGAATGGAGTGAAATTGATGAATGGGTACTAGAAGTCATCTCTGCCACTGTTCTTGTCTCTCTCCAGGGATCCTTCTCATGAAAGCCAATTGTAAGTGGCCTCCCTCCTTTGCCTAGGATTCCGGATATGCTCAGAGGTTAATGAGAACAATTTATCTCCCTTCTCCTTGTTTCAACCTTTTATGTACTTGAAAATTGTTGTGTGTCTGCTCCTGCCCTTGGTCTTCTCCAGACTAAACAAACCCAATTTTTGTCTTCCCTAAGAGGTCATGTTTTCTAGACCTTTAATCATTTTTGTTCGTTCTCCTCTGGACTTCCTCCAGTTTGAAATGTGGTGGCCAGAGCTGGACACAATACGAGGCCTTATCTGCATAGAGTAGAGTGAAACAGTTACTTCTCTTGTCTTGCTTATAACACTCCTGTTAATACATCCCAGAATGAGGTTTGCATTTTTTTGCAGCTGTTACACTGTTGACTTATATTTAGCTTGGGATCCACTATGATCCCAGATCCATTTCTGCAGTACTCTATCCTAGACCATCAGTTCCCATTTTGTGTATGCAATTGATTGTTCCTTCCTAAGGGGAGTACTTTGCATATGTCCTTATTGAATTTCATCCTGTTTACTTCAGACCATTTCTCCAGTTTGTCATGATCACTTTGAATTTCAACCCTATTCTCCAAAGCACTTGATCCCCTCCCAACTTGGTATTGTCCACATGCTTTGTGTTCTCATCTAAATCACTGAATAGAACTGGACACCCAGAACCAATCCCTGTGGGACCCCACTTGATATGCTCTTCCAGCCTGATTGTGAACCACTTTCTTGGAATGGTTATCCAAACAGTTATGCCCTCACCTTTGAAGTAGCTCTATCTAGATTGTATTTCCCTAGCTCATTTATGAGGAAATCATGTCAGATATAAAAAGCCTTACTAAAGTCACGATGAACTACGTGTAACTGTTTCTCCACTATCCACAAGGCTTGTCACCCTGTCTGAGAGAACTATTAGTCTGGTGTGACACGATTTGTCCTTGACAGATCCATGCTGACTGTTCCTTATCACCTTATTTTTTCAAGGTATTTGCTTATTTATTTGCTCCCTTATTTTTCTGGGTACAGAAGTTAAGCTGACAGGTCTGTATTTCTCAGGTTGGCCTTATTCCCATTTTATAGACTGGCACTATGTTTGCCATTTCCCAGGCCTCTGGAATCTCATGATGATGATGATGATGAACTCCAGGAAATCATCCCACCACCAGTGGTTCCCAGGAGTGTACCTTCTGGAGAAGAGATTTCCCCAGACAGTCGTCATCCATGGCTGCTGTGGCCTCAGGAAGTGGTGCACTTGGCTCCCTCCTAGGCTCTGCCCATGGCACATATTGGTTCAGTCCCTAGAAGACTGTAAAACTTAGTCTAATCTAGGTTATTGAGCCAAATACTTTTAGCTGGGTATCCCTATAAACAGTCAGACCTTCTGCATATCACAGTCTTGATCTGATGGTCCTCCTGGTTTAAACTCTGTAACCTCCCACATCAAATTAAATCCTGTTCTTACCTCTTAGGCTGCTCTGACATGCTGCTGCTAGTCGGGTTTCCCTTCCCCCAGCACAGGACTGGCTGAGGTCGGTGTTATCACACTATCAGACTGAAGTGCATGTCATTATTCTACTTTGTACTATGTCGTCATTCAACTGGTGAACAGAATCTATGCATCTTTTTCCTTCCAAGGAAGACCTCAGTCCCAGATGCTGCTGGGACAGGTTGAGGTGCTCACGTAGGGAACTAGCTTCACGTAGGGGAACCATTGCCTACAAACATCTCTCTAGTTGCTGGATCTCATTCAAATGTCACCTCAGCCATCAGTAGCACTTCCAGATTGTCCTCACATGGTATCTCAGAATCGTGGCCAGATTCTCACTCTAGATGCAAACATCTAACAGCCTAGTTGTGTTGGCTGGTAATGGGCTGCCAATAGACCCCATTTATTGCAAGTCTGAGGACTGATTTTTACCAAGTAGAAATCCCACCATAAGGAGAAGCAACATCTCTCTGGAAAACCCTGGCATCAAGATTCTTGACAGCGGTCTGTATCTGAATCTCTGTGGATTCAAGGTCAGTTCAGTCAAAGTCAAGGTTGCAGCTGCTAGAGCCTGCCAGCCTATTCCAGGCACATGTTGTTTTCTCCCCCCTACTCTTAGAAAACCAAATAAAGATCTAGTCTTGTAGCCCCTCTCTTGAGTCCTCTCTTTGGCATCTTGCTGTCAAAGCAGCTCTTCCACTGGCAATTCCATCAGCCTGCAGTTTGGCAAGCTCCAAGCCCTCCTGCCTGCCCCATTATACATTTTTCATCAGTATCAGGGGGTGGCAAGGCTAAAGTTGTGTTTAAAATTCCCACTGAAGCCAGAGAGTGAATGTCCTGGTTTTCTTTCTTTGTGGGGAAGCAGCTCCACCCTGGAAACATCTTCAGAACCATGCTCTTACCTAGTAGGACCAGTCGTCTCACCTTTTTGGCTGCATTAACTGGCCCCACTATGGGACAAGTGGTCTCTTTCCAGATCTCATCTCCGTGGGCTCCTCAGTGTATTCCAGTGTTACCACATAGTAGGCATTTCCTGTCCCCAGGTATCTGCTTTTAAAGCCAGGTGTCAGGCTGTCACCTCTGTGTTTCAGGACCTTCCTTGGGCCCGAGGTCTGCAAAGCAGCCCTGGGAGTAACCCAGTGCCCTTTGTCCAAAGTTGGGTCCCAGCCTGGGCTTTGAGCCCAGATGTCGAGTTCAGAAAGCTCATGTTCCAATTATTGTTCAGGGCCATTCATGGTGCCCGGGAGGTGGGACTGCTGGCCTGGCACCTAGGATGGGCTCCATGCACATGCACATATAGGGCAGCAGAGGGATGGTCCCGGCCAAACCGCCCTTCATACCCTCAGATATGTGGAGAGATAACAGGGACAGGAAGGACACTGAGGCCCCAACAGGCATTGCTATGCAAATGATGCCCATCATGTGTGTGGTACTCGGACATAAAGGGAGAGCCCTTTGGACACCAACATCTCCAAACCCTTTCCCTCCCCCCCATTAGTACGAGGTAAGGAAGGCCCAGGGAGAGATTAGGGTGCAGCCCAGCAGTTGGGGAGGACTGTTTGGTTAATGGGACGGGGGTGTTGCTGGAGGCAGGGCAGTGAGCTAGACTGTGGGATCCTCATGGTACTGTCTGGTTTTCCAGCTGCACAAGCCCCTCTGAAACCAAAAACCCCACGTGGCACCAAGACACCCATAAACCGGAACCAAATGAGCCAGAACCGGGGCCTGGCTGGCATCGTGGGCAAGAGGGCCTATGACAGCGTGAGTGCCCTACACCCTCTCTGGGATGGGGGTCAGGGATGGCATGAGTGACTGGGGATGGATTCTCACAGTCAGAACTTTCTCCCTGGACTCCAGGGCCCCAGAGACCCTTCCCAAGGGGGCGGGCGTTCCTCATGCAACCCCATGGGAGTCAGGTTAGTGGGTCCCAATAAAGAGGGTGGAGCACAGCCGATGGCTCTGGTCTATGGTTGGTGCAGGGGGTGGGGTCTATGCAGAAGAGGGGATAAGGCCCAGCTGATGGCTCTGGTCTGTGATTGGTGCAGGTGGCAGGGAGTGGGGTCCCGTTCTCGGCCAATGGCCGGCCCATGACCTCGGGAATGCGGTCGAGTTCCCAGCCAGCTGTCAAGCGCCAGAAGCTGAACCCAGCTGATGCCCCCAACCCTGTTGTCTTCGTGGCCACTAAGGACACCAGGTACTTTGGGGTTGGGGGGGAAGGGGAGTCACTAGATCATAGAGGATAGGTCCCACCAGATAATGGGGAATTGTGGCAGGTGGGGGGACAGGCAGAGGTGACACTTAGTAATGGAAAGGGATTGGTAGACACATCCCAAGCTAACTGGAGGAGATGGGGGAGGTTTAGTCACACCCCTATTCCAACCCACTAGTCTTTGAATGGTGGAGGGCATGGACTGTGGCCTCATTTTTGCCCTCCCTCAGCCCCTGCTGCCACAACATGCAGCTATCTGACTTGAGTCTGCTTAGACCCACACCTGCCTGGGGCATATTTGGAGGGGCCCTGACCCCCCCCCCTCCCCCACTTGTAGGGTCTCCCACTCTGACCTGGTGTCTGTTTCCTGCAGGGCATTGCGAAAAGCTCTCACCCACCTGGAAATGCGCCGAGCTGCCCGTAGACCCAACTTGCCGCTCAAGGTGAAGCCAGTGCTGCCCCTACGGCCTGTGGTAGCACCGCTGTTGCCAGGGCCCCCAGCCCACCCTGCCAGCACCAGTGAACCCATCATTCTGGAGGACTGAGCCTGGCCTTTCTTCCCAGAGCCACGCCTCCCCGTCTCCAGAGCCTATGCGCATGGCAGGCTTGGGGGAAGAATCTGGTTCCGCTTTCCCTCTGGGGGAGCCCCCTGAGGGACCAGCCCAGGAGTGGGGGGAGCAGGGGCATGGCTTATACTTTTTATATTTTTTTTATTTCCACAAACTCCCTCCCCTCTGTCAGGCTCTGGGAGGGGGGGGGGGGGGGTGGAGCGCTGCCCGCTCACTCCCCCCAAAATGCAGTTACTTCTTGTCTTTACTTATTTCCCTGTGTTGGTTCTACTGTCTCTGCTCCTCATTTCCCATAAGCCACCCTTCCCCCTCTTCTCTCCCCCCCCCCCCTTTGCTGCAGAATCTGTCTTTTTTTTAACTCAATCTGTAACCAGTTCTTATAGCAACCAGGAAATAAACCAACGCCTTTTCTTCAGCTGCCCACTACTAGGGCAGGGAGGTGACTGGGTACTCAGGGAGGAGCAACAGGAGATGTATGGAGCCTTCAGTTCATGGGGTTCACTTGGGGAAGGGGCTTCTCATGTTGGGTTGCTTCTTGGGGCTAGCTTGGTGCTGGTCACATGACTACTTCACCCTGGGACTCAGCCTAGTCCCAGTATAGAGAGGGAGAGGTGACATGGGGCCAACTTGGGGAAGGGGAGAGACAGTAAAGGGACATGGGGCTAACCTCTGAGGCATAACTCAACACCAGGCCCGGTCCAAGTGAGAGCAGACAGTTTAATGTCCTAGCAGAAGAGGGTTGTTAGTGGTCCACCGGGGATCTGAACACTTGTATCTTCCCTAGCGCTGCCAGGGTGCCAGCTTCCTAGCTAGGGCCTGGGGGAAATGGCTACCGCAGGAGCCCAGATTACATCCTACAGTGGTAGAATACTAGAGGCTGCTGCCTACAAGGGGAGGTTCTACACTAACAAAGCCTCCTGCTGTTTGCCTGTCTTGGGGGAGGGTGTGTACTTGCAAACCTCCCCTTTGGGAAGATGGTTTTAGTAGGACTGTGGCCCTTAGTTTAGCTCAGAAAGCTTTCTCTTTCCTCTAACACACATTCCACCCTAGCCTGCACTAGCTTTCAACTCCTGTATCTCCCTCCCACATGCATGTAAGTCAATGGCCCATGCTGCCCCCTCAGCTGAAGTAGCTGGTGATGAGCTCTTGCTGCAGGTGATGAGCCTCCTGGCAGAGGGGCTCAGGGTGAGGAGACACCTGGGTACATGGCTTAGCATCCGGCTCTACCCCCTCTGGCATGGCAATACCCCGCTTCACAGCCATGTTGTGCAGGATGCAGCAGGCCACAAAGATGTGGCAGACCTTGAGGGGGCTGTATTGGAGCACCCCTCCTGCCCGGTCCAGGCACCGGAACCGACCCTTTAATGCCCCTACTGTCCGTCCTGCCACAGCCTGTGTGGCCATGTGCGCTGTGTTGTATCGCTGCTCAGCTGCTGTCCCTGCTGCTTTCACTGGTGTCAATAGCCATGGTTTCAGGGGATAGGCTCCATCTCCTGTGGAGAACCAGACACGGGTTATGCTCTGCAGACTGGCTGTTCCTGACCTTCCACCTGTTCCCAGGGCAGACTCCAGCCTTCAGAATGGGCCCTCCCCCCTCTATGGGATGCTAGTTCCAATCAATCTGGGCAGGGGTAGTGGCAGTCTCAAGGGGAAGAGGGAGTAAAATAATAAGGCTATGTCTAGACTGGCATGATTTTCCACAAATGATTTAACGGAAAACTTTTCTGTTAAAAGCATTTGTGGAGAGCGTCTAGATTAGCATGGACTCTTTGCTGCAAAAGCACTTTTTGCAGAAAAGCATCCGTGCCAATCTAGATGCGGTTTTGCGCAAGAAAGCCCCGATCGCCATTTTCGCCATCGGTGCTTTTTTGCGCAAAACAATACTGCGTTGTCTACACTGGCCCTCTTGTGCAAGGGTTCTCCCCTCTCATGTGTGGCCTGGAAGTCACAAGTCTCCATGATGCTTCAGGAGGAAGGAAGGGCCTATTGAGATATAATGTTCCTTTCTCCCTTGCAGAGTTTCTTCCAGACAGCAGACTGAGGCATGTGCCAGAATTTGAGTGGGTGGATGCTCCCTACACTTAGCAGGGAATTCAGGGTGGGGTGAGGGGTGAAGGTTACTAGCAGCTGTCACAGAGCCTTCACCACACAACCTAAGTTCGAATAATTGGGCAATCTCATCACAAGTAGGGTAGGTAGCCTTGGTTACTTCCCTGGCTGCTAGTTGCAGGTGGAGCTGCAATGAGGGGCCAGGGTGGGAGCCACATCACTGTAGAGATAGGGTCTTACTAAAGTGGTGGAGAGTGGAGGTGCTGGGGAGTGAGGCAAGTAAGGGGTGCAGCAGGTGCATGAGATTGACAAGTGAGGTAGCCAAGGAAAGGAGGGACCCCTAGGCCATGGCTCACCCAGCAACCAGCCATCCATGTTCCTGTGCCCTTCAAAGATACTCTTGAGGTTGGAACAGCTGAGGATGTGGGCATCTGGCACAGAGCCAGGGAACTCAGCCACCACATGGGTTATTAGGCCATGGGCATCACACACCAGCTGCATGTTCATGGAGTGGAAGCGCAGGGGGTTGCGGTAGAGGTTCTCGTGATCTGCAGGTGGCTTCAGGGCCACGTGGGTGCAGCTCAATGTCCCCAGCACGTTGGGGAAGCCAGCAATGCGTAGGAACTCCTCCTTGGTGTGGGCCTGCTCCCGGGGCTGGAAGGGGAAGCGAATGTAGGCATTGGCACGGCGGAGCAGGGCAGTTGTGACCTGGGAAACACAGCGGGACATGCTGGCCTGGCTGATGCCAGCTGCATCACCTGCTGGAGTCTGGAAGGTGCCTGATGTGTAAAAGTTGAGGGCAGCTGTCACCTTGACGTAAACAGGCAGAGCGTGGCTGCGGCCAGTTGAGGGTTGCAGGTCGCACTCTAGCGTGTGACACAGATCTCGGATCATCTCAGGGTTGAGCTGGTAGCGCCGCATCACCTGCTCCTCTGGCATGTTCAGGAACTGGATCCGGGGCTTGAACACCCGCTCCTGGGGCACTCGCCGTCGCCGCCGTGCATGGGCACGCTGGGCCAGCAGGTACAGTGCCATGGGGGAGCTGCAGCCACCCGGGGAGAACAGCTTTTCTTCTCGATAGCAGGCTTGGTGGAGGCTCGCCACTTGCCCGGGCTGGGCTTGGCTAGGGGCGGGGACTAGGACAGGAGGGGGAGGGGTTCGGGCAGGGAAGCAAGGCCAGAGGGGGGTCCCGGCCGGCCCCGGAGGTAGATCTCAGAGCCCCCAACGACCACGGACCCTCTGCAGGACCCCGCCAATCAGCGAGCTCCGCTCCTGCTTATTAATGAGGCGGTGTCCCTTACGCCACCGATGCGGCATATTCCAATTAGCCCCGCCTAACTCGGGGGAAAGGGAACCGAGCGGACCATTTCCGACGGAAGTTATGCTGCTGTCTGGTACTCTCCGGCAGAAGCGCTGCTGGATCAGGCACTTCCGGAGGATATGCTTCCGGGGTAGGGCGTATCAGGGACGGAGCACTTCCGGTGGCGCGTAGTTCTGGCCCGGGATGGAGCAGGATGTGGAGTCGCTGCCCCGTGGAGGCTTCCGTTGCCGTCTCTGTCATGTGACTGCGGCTAACAGTGAGGGGGAAGCCCAGGGTCACCGTGGGCGAGTCAC